CTGCTGAACTGCTTCCCCTCAAATGCCTACTCCAGCAATGAGATTGGTTACAGTCCCAATAGAATTGCTGGGCTTCCTCAGGTGTGCAGGAGTCTGTCTGTGTGGACTCTGGATCATCGATTTATATTATTGATGTGAGAAGGAATGCAAACTTCCTGCTTGAGCAGTGCAGGGAAAAGCCAAGGCAATTGGGTTTTGAAGCTAAAATGCAGTTTTTCTCTATGAATCTCCCCCTGTATTACAGGGAAGACTAGCTGGGGAATCTTATGGCTGGAAATGCAGTAAAAGGAAGTTTATGGTGCCTGTGGGCATTTAATGTACTCAGGTAATACAGAGCTTATTAGAGCAGGCTGAAAGCTTCCATTTATTTATGTATTTATTTATTTATTTAGAGAGGGAGCGATCATTGGGTTAGTCTCAATAAGAACGTGATTCTCCTTGTAGGTGAGCTCATGTAATCTTACTGCTGATACAACTAAGACCAGGATGAAAAAAATAGTTTTTTTGGGGGGGAAAACCCAAAATTTGTTTTTAAGATATTTAAAATTGGCCTATTTGTAACTTATTTTCATAGAGGTTTTATTAGTCTTTCTTGTACTTTGATTATTTTTACTTACAATAACACTCTTTTTTTTTTTTGATAAATCAAAATTTCTATAACTGTTTCAATAAAAGTTACTATTTTAAGATTGCTGTGTAAATGTTCCTAAAAATAAGTCAATAAGGACAATTTTATGAAGGGCTTCCTGTTTGGAAAAAGCTGCTTTTTCCCATGGAAAATGTTTTTATTTGGCGGGGTGGGGGGGCTGGCACAGGTCCAAGGCATAAAAGGTATAAAAATAGTATCAAGCCAAATATCCATCCCAGAATATGCTCCTTTTCAGTCAGTGTCAGAGTCCCACTGTGGTCACTCTTCAGGAGTACTGCTTTTACCTAGCTTTCTGTCTTATTCCATACAACACACATACTAGGCCATGTAGTAATATTCCAGCTGAAATTCTGTTCATCTCCAATTGCTTCATTGTTGCCACAGTTTCAGGATAGGAGTGCCTTTGATAGTTCTTGAGGGAAACTTATATTACTTTTCTTTTTCTTTTTTTTGATTAGCCTGAAGAAAAGATGAGGGATCTTAGGATGCTCATTTCAGTATGTTCACAGAGCTTGGTCCTGGGAATGGTGCCATTTAAGAGGAAAACAAATTGGCTAATATCTACAGCTACATGGCATGGACTAACAGAATTTACTGGAATATGTACAGCAGTCTGTATTTAATTGCATAGCCTCAGGACTGACAAAAGGCTGTATACATACTCACTTTTCTAGTACTAATGCACAGTAACTAGTGAAACAGGCTGCGCATAGCTTTTCACCGCTCATTACCTTGTTTCTCAGTGCTCCTTATGCCTATAATACTCTCCTTGAAATTGCCATGACCTAGTCAGTCCAAGTCTGCTTTAGCAACCTTGAAGGTGAAGATTCCTGTCAGCTTCTACATTTATTCAGTGAAACGGAGTTTAGTTGTATTACAAAGTAGACAGTGGGCTCAGAGAATTTCTATACATTGCAAGTGGTTTATGCATGTAACTGATATGCAGAAAAACAGAGATTTGTTGCAAAATATAAACAACAAGCAACAAATTGGGACCAGTATTACATTATGCAGGTAAGTGAATTATGCACTTATCTGATATAGATGTGCAGTAAACTGTGTACTTGGCGTATTCACACAGAAGTGACTGGTAACTTTGTGCACCTTCGTTGTTTTGAGTATTTTACCTGATACCTTTTCAGAGCTGGATGCCCTGCACTTAGATCAGCAAAATGAGAGAATGATTTCCAGGCTTTCAGGTGGCACTATCTTGAGTATTCTTACCTAGTTATAGATCTAGGGGTATTGAAAGATGTTCCCTTAGCCAATTGAAACAAAGAGTTCAAATCTCAAAAATAGTCATGAATCAGAAATCCTTCTTCCTCCCTCCTCCAAAAAAGGAAAAAAGCTTGGGGTCAAGTAAAGCATTTTGAGAATTTGGAAACACTTTATTTCAATTGTTTATAACTTTACAATTATTTTTACAATAGGAAGGTTAAATTTTTAAATAATAAAATTTTTGAATGCAGACTTGGCAATTATCATTTAAAACATATCAAAACAAAACATTTCAACAGTTTCAAAACTTTTTAAATGAGCTGATCTACAAACAACTTCAGTTATGATGGACTGGTGCTTTCTGATAAGAAAAAGTTATGTCAGAGAAATTCCCTACAAGCTTTTGACTTGGTTCAG